AAACTAAAGGTGATTAATTATATGTATATTAATTAAACACTGAAAGCCACATGCACATGCACTCGCGTAGCGAAACGGCAAAATTACGAATTGTATTTTAACAATTTAAAATTTGGACCCCGGTGGTTTAAATGCAAAACAACACAAAAGTTCGGAGCGCAAAACAAAAACACGACCGTTCGCTATGAAAGTTCAAAGTCAATGACAATTAAAGTAAAGTAAGCCGGTTTAAACAGCCTTCTGGTTGGGGGTTGAATTTCCAAGAATCCAAAAATAAAATTAAACTCTTTATTTAATGTAACTTGCGTCAACTAACATTAAATCGAATATTCTTATTAAATAACAAATGCAATTGTTGTCAAGTTAAGCTTGACTGTATGTTAAGGCTACAATTGTTTTGTTACCTAATTAATATTTACAAATTTCAGAGCACAAATGCTTAAATACTCAAATACTTATTTTTAGAAAACAATTATTAAACCAAAAAGTATTACAGGCAAGAGCAGAAAATAATCCTTTTTGCCTAGCTGCCATTATACTTATAATTAAATGTAATTACTTATTATATTGAGTCAAGTCATGTGAAATTTAACTATTAACTATTAACTATTTAACTATTCAATACAATCCTAGTAAAATGTCCACTTTTCGCTCAGAAATAACTTAAATTCATATTTTTTCGTTTTCACTTTATTAATATTATTATGAATACAAAATGTCAGCTTTATAAATGTTTCACAGAAAGTTGTACTTTGTATTTACTCCACTCATTCCCTTTTTTATATAAATCAATCTAAGAGCGGTTTGTTGGTAATATGTTTGCCATTGAAATATAAATATCATGCCCAAATAAATACGACTCATTCGCTAATTAGGAACTCGGAACGGTTATAGAATTCCGCAGCCTGTGAAACCATTTAAAACACATCTGACAGGATAATTATTGGTGTGCAGAGATAATTGAAATAATAAATTGAATAAATCAATTATTAAGTCACGCAAATTCCTATTAAATAAAAAAAAATGTAATTGTGTTTTTTCTGTAAACTAAATTTAAGTGGAAATTACATGAGTTTATAAAATTCCGAGAATTATAAAGCTTAAAATGCCAATGAAATTGCAGTTGCTAATGACAAAAATAGTGTCAGTGGAAAATAAACAGGAAAAATGCCCAGTCCTTGTCAATTGCAAAATATTTTCCTTACTCACCGTCAGAAGACTATGTATTCCGATTCGGGGCCAATGCTAATTAATAAACTTTATTCTTTCCTGGGACCTAGAGCAGCGAAGCAGTTGAAACTGTTGAAAGTTTTCCATTCAGTTGGCGTTCCCCTGCACGAGTGTACCCAATTAATGGGATCTACGTAAATTGGCTTAATTTCAATTGACCAGCTCGGTACCATGGTAGTTTCAGCTCCACTGACGTCAACTACTGCAGGAGCAGCTAGGAGTCGCGTCTGAGGAAGCTCGCCCAGCACACTGATGGCGTTAAATCCCAAACAAATTATCGCAGACACGTTTCGGTATGCAAACAAGATTCCAAGGGAACGCACACACATCTGCTGGCAGGGCGATTAAAGTCTGATTCTGATTCTGGTGAACTTTCAAGTGAATCCTGTACCCCTAAGTGCCGCTTTAAGGACAATTGCCTCGGGAACTCGTCGAGGAACCCACTGGCGAAAGCAAACAAAATATTAAGCACTCAAAGAAATGCATAAATATTCAATATTTTAATATTTTGTCGTAATTTTGTGAAAGTTTTGAAAGGTATGTTACTTATTTACTTTTGAAGTTAAGCATTTAAAGAGTTCCTCTAAAGCCATTAAAAATATCTCTTATTAAACAGATAACATTTTATCTGAGTGCAGACCACTCTAAGGAAAGCAGAATCCACAGCAGATCCGGAGGCGGGACTTGGATGGGTTCATGCCCAACGCGCCATGTCCATGGTCAAGGCTGCGCGGTTTATTGTTTTGGCTACTGCAATTGAGCGGAATATTCCGAGTTATTTTTGGCTCTCGACTTGTGGCGCAGCTAATCTCGAGTTGTCTGCTTTCGGGGATTGCGACTCTTGTTTTGTTGGCCTCCAAGAAAAAGAAAAAAACAAACAAACAAACACGAGAAGAGCAGCAGAGAAAGGATGGCGCTGCAAGTACTTCGAGTACATCGAGGCCATAAAGCAAACACTTTTAGTTTGTTGAACTGTGACCGGAGGTCGGGTCTTCAAATTTCGTTGTCAAAACTGCCAGTGCCAGCTGTTGGATGCTGCCAGGATTTTAAACTGCCTCCCTTCGCAGTCTCGTACATTTGCCATTTTAATTTAGACCATTGTTCTGCGGCAAGGGCCAGCTGCTGGATATATAATAGTGGCCAGGACAACAAGTGCTTTGCCACAATTAATATTTAATTAAAATTTTTGGCATTTAAAGTACAAATCGGTTATGAACCACAAAAATCCAACTGAGCCGCTGCGCACACACACATCAAAAGTTCCCAGAAAGTAATATTTATTTGCAAGAGCAAGAGCTCGGGCAAGAGTTGACCTCAGGACACACAATGGCAACAAAAGAATCAATTGGGTTCATCGAAACAGCCCGCCCCCGGATGGTGGGGCCATCGCACAATAAATAAACACATAAGTCGCCCATGAAGAGTGTCCTTTGGACCGTGTGTTTACACAACTTTAATTGGAGACCCCCGAAACAACGATGCTCCAGTTGCTGTGTTGTTCCGCAGTTGTTCTCTCGACCGCATTTTTCTTTAAATTTTTAATTGAACGTCAGTTGAAGCGATTCTGTTTAGTCTAATTTGCTGGCATATGTAACAACAGAGGCGAAAGTTTTAAGCAACAGAGAAGAGTGGGGTACACTGGGGAAATAAATAATAACACTTATAAAAAAAATACATATTATTGTACTTCTTTCTTCTATATCTTACAATTACTCAGTTCTCTTATTTTTCAGAATTTTCCGAATTAATTATAATTATTCAGCATTAAGTTTGTAACTTTATTCAGTTTAGTAATAAATAATTATTCTTTTTTTGTCAGTGACTGCGTGTTTGTGATCCTGGGTTGAACTCGGTGATGGGTTCAAAGCAAGCTGCCTCGGCTTTTGTCCGGTTTTGTCCGGCTCTTTGCTGGCTCGTTAGGTGCAGACAAGGACCCGCAGAGAATGACCAGGCGGCATGCATGTGAGGGCTTTAAAGTTTCCACATGGCCATGGATATGGATATGGCCACTATAAGTCCATGAGTCCAAGAGTCTCAGTTATTTGTTGTTTCTGTGCCAAAAAAAATGAATTCGCCGCTTTGAAAAGTGAAAGTTTGTCGCTCATAAAGTGGAAGAGTAATCTGAAATGTCTGTGCGTAATGACCGGGACAATATGCGAAACTTTAGACACTGGACACAGGACCTATTAAAGTTCGAGTTGGGCTAGGGAACAAATCCAAAAAAAACCCTCCAGCTTCCATCTTCCATCTTCATCTCCGTCAGGGAGCTTTGTGCCAGCTGAGTTGGCCGTTAAACTGGTTGTCTAGACCGTAAGTAAATTTATGGCTCTGATTAATATCTTTATTGTGTCAGATTATGATTGACTAGGCGGCAGGCCGCACGATTTATTGATGGCGGCCATCCGCTTCTCCAGTATCTTGAGCCACTCACAAAAGAATCTGCATCGGAGGCGATGATGAATGCTCCAGGAGGAGGGCGTTCCCAAGGGCAAGTCACTCTTTTGTTGGCAGTTCCCGGCAACAGGGCGTATGGAATTACATGGGCCGTGGCTAAGCGCCGTTCAATGGGTAAATATGCATTTAATATATATGAGTCCCTAGCCACCACCAACCTTAATCTCTTTCTCACACCCACACACACACACGCGCGATAATGCCAGGTGAAGAGGCGACAATTTAGCCCTGAATTTTTCAAGACATGACTCCCGTGACTCGACTGCCACTTGAATTTATTTCCCTGCTCTCAAATAGCCATTAATAATTCCGTTTCGCCATAAAGTGAGACGAGGCGGCATCAGCCATAACTCGTAAAGTTTTGTCCCAGTTTTGAGTTGATTTTTTTGTGATACTAATCTCGTTCCTTCCCTATTCACTCCACGTGCCAATTCGCCACAGGATAAGCCCATTCTTGCAACTCCTGGCACATTCGTTTCAATACGAACTTCCTTTACTGTAAAGCCGCCTTGACTAATGGACCTCCGGCACTTGGCCAGGTGCAAACTGAAATGGACTGGCTGGCAGGTGCAAATGCAGCAACGAGAATTGATTTACACTTCAAAAAAAAGGGGAAGTATTATTAAAATAAAGATATAGGGGAAACTATTAAGACATTTATTAATTAACAAATGTAGTTTTTATATATTGCAACAAATTGTTTAATTAAAATATAATATATACTAGCTTTTAGTCTATTTCACCCGTTGTCCTATTTGTTGTCAGTGCAACAGACAACAGAATGCCTGCCAATCGCCAGGATTAAAGTCGCAAAAGCATGGAACAATGTCTGGAAAAAAATACTCTTCCTGGGAAAACTGAGAGGCAGCCGCCTGTGTCTCCTTTTTCCATATTCCCTCTCTCAATTCCCCTTCCCAATTTCCCCCCTCTGCCTGGAATGCAGGTGAAGGTGAATGTTCTTGGCGTGCATTGTGCGAAAATAAAAAAGCTGAAAGGCTTTTGCTGTAATGCTGGCAACATTCTTTATTTATTCACATTATTTACTGGTAGCTCAACACTTAACACTTAATTTATGGCGGCGATGCGGTTGCCATCGCAAACTCTGGGGCGTGGCATTTCGTCAGGACGAGGACGAAGAGGAGGACACTTTGTTGCCTCATTAGCCCGGCTTTATGCTCCGCATAAATCGTCTGGACTTGGCCATTTTTTTATGACGAAATTTGCATGCAAATCGCACGGCATTCTCCGGCTTTTTTACAGATCAAAAGATCGGCTTTATTGCGCTACCTAAACAACGTCTAACTAAGCGAAGCCCATCATTGGGATTTGGGCGAGCCATAGGCCATTCCCTCGCCAGTGGAGTCCTCGGTTTTCTGCCTCCTCTTGCGCCAGGGAAACTTGCGGGAGCTGCGACCTGCCACGGAGCCAGACTGATTGGTCTCCGGATCCGGCAGACTGTGGCTGCCACAAAATGGTGGTGGAATCGTTGTTCCTGTAGCCTCGTCCCGTCGACTTATGACCCTAGATAGCTTCAGACGAGTGGCTGGCGGACCGAGCTCAGATGGGTCAGCTATCTGTGGCGAAGGTTTCACCAGGAGGGCCCCACTCTTGGTGGCCAGCAGGGCCCGCTTGGCTCTGCCGGAGGCATAGTGTCTGTCCACCACCTCGGCCTCGAGCAGGGAGTTGGCATCGCCCACCGAAGACAGTTGCGAGACCTGGGCCTGCAGCATGCGATGGGGCACTGCCGTTCCCGGGCCAGGGCCAAAGAACTCCTGTTTTCGGAGTCGCCGGCCACCACCCACGCCATTACCCGCTCCCAGGCCGGTGCTGTTGATCGTCGTCGTCGTGGTGGTGGTGCGTATACTGTCCTGCAGGGACAACTGGTGGCTGGCATCTCGGCAGCGGAACTGCACCACGCGATAGGAGCCGTAGGGCTCCAGGGCATTGTTGTTCACACTGCAGCTAGCCGGCTGCAGCCGCATCGATCCGTTCTGCCGGAGCAGGGCACTGTAGTTGTGCTGGTGGTGCTGGCTCTGCTGATGGTGGTGGTTCCTGGCCAGACCAAACTGCCTAGTAAGGGTGATCTGTGGATGGTAAGGTGTGAGAAGGGTTTAGGGATTATAAGAAAACTAAATATTCATGATATTGCCAGGGCTTAATTGCTGTATTTTATATTCAATCCAGGCTTACCTTGAAGGCCTCGCGGAACTTGTGGCTCATGATGTTGTACAGCAGCGGATTGATGCACGTGGAGAGGAAGTAGAGCACACCGGATGTGTAGTCCAGTATCCGGAAGTAATCGTTGAAGGCGTCCCGACTGATGCCTATATTAATCAGGGACAGGCCGTACACAGCCATTAGGCGCTGGGCGTGAAAGGGAGCCCAGCAGAGGAAGAAGGCGACGGCTACAGCTACTGCAAATAGGGGCAAGGATAAGGGACGCATTAAGTACGCTGGAAAAAAGTGTTACTAGGTGGGTTTTTAAAAGTATTAAAGGTTTAAATTGGCCTATTTTAAAGGTAGTTTTGGTTTAGCACGGCAACTCAAGCCAATCAGTTGGTTTTCAAAACAAATTGAATGCCAGGACTAAGCAGAATTTCAACTTTTGTTTACTGCTCTTCCATTCACTTAAATTTTAGATTAACAGCTTTAAGTTGAATCTGAGTTGGATTTTTGCCATCGTTTTGAATTTCGTTCACTAGAATAAGAGGCATACTATAGCTTAAGGCTGTGGTTTTTCCGAGAAAGCCCACAACAAATAGCAGATTGTAAACTAACCTGTAATGGAAAATATTTCTATGAATTTTCTTAAATTGTCTATTCGTACACTGGAAAAGCACCCCCTAGTTATATCATTTTTAATTTAATATTTCTTACAAAGGAAATTTGATGAGTTTAAATTCAAGTTTATGAATTTTACATATATTATGACATAACTTTTCTGAAAACAACTTCAACTTATTTATTTATTTTAACTTTTTTCTCCTAGTGTATTTAATAGAAACTTCCTACGCATCGTCTTGCCAATTATTGGAGTGCCAGCCACACTCCACCCCTGCCACCTGACAAGTCTTGGTGCCCTTGATTACTTTGAGGTGTCAGGTGGCTTGGCTTCACCTTTGCCGCATTCGCCGGGTGGCCACCTCTCTTGCGAAAAATTAAGGACATAAAAAAAAGGGGACCTACATGCATGACGCAAGTGCAAATGGAAATTACGAGGGAAATTACTGGAAAAGCGGGAGCGGGGTTGTAGGGAATGACGAATCTCGTGTTTTATGTCGCCAACGCAAATACGCTGACAGTAATTTTCAATTTAAGACTTTCGGCGGAAAAGTTTTGACAGGCGGGGGCGGGGCCTTGGCTTGCTGTCTTTAATCAATCAAGCCGCCAACACAACGCAACTCACCTACCCAACATTCTGATGACGCGGCCCTGGGCATTGAGCCCGCGGTTGGCATCGTATGTCCTCCGCGGCAGAGATTGGAGCAGCCTGCTCCTCTTCAGTTTCACCCCAATCAGAACGTAGAGCACGCAGATAGCCGTCATCGGTCCGCCGAAGAATATGAATCCGGAGACGGCGAACACGTGGGCATAAAAGTCGTTCTCCATCTGCGGGCGATAAGGGACAATATAGAGGGATATAAAATGACGAGTGCCTCCAGTGTCCACCCACCGTGCAGGAGTATCCGCCGTTTTGATAGACCACCGAAAATTGCACGGCCTGGGGCAGTGCCAGCAGGAAGGCCGTCAGCCAAATGGCAAATATAAATTTAATGGCCCGCGACAATTTTGACATGGTGTGCTGCCTATAAATGACAGAAAAATTATGCTATATTATATGTTAAATATTAAGGGGGATTTTATGTAAATGCTTCCGCTTTAATGTGGGTAGATGTGACTTGGCTAAAAAATGGAGAAGGCAGTTAAAAACGCCTACAAGTTAGATCATTGCATCAGAAATTTAAGATTATTCTTCATAAATATGTAATACATAAAGGTAAAAATAAACAAAAAAACAAGGAAAAAGGGAAATATTTTTGGTATATTGCCCCTAAAATGAAATTTTAAAAAAGAAAAACAAACCTAAAACTTTTCCCCCAAAAGTGTTTAAATGATTGCCACAATGTAGCTTGGTTTTCCTGATTTTCCTTTTTTTATGTAAATACATTTTCAAGAAACTAAAAAAGTCACATTCAAATGAATAAAGTTTCTTACTAATTTCGTTTATATGCAAAACTTTTAGGCTCCATCAAAGTTGCCTAAAATAAACATCCTAGAATAATTCTTAAAAGATATTTCAACATTTATATTTAAACCCAAATTCATGGCAAGTAAAACTTTGTGTCCTAACTTCACAATTAGGTTAGGAATGCCTTATTTAAGTCGACCCACCCTTTTATGTCTGGTTATTTCAAAGGACATTCTTCTATGTATAAAGTAGGAAACGCAAATTGTACTTAAATAGAGAAAAACAGAATGCTGTTATTATATACAAATGGGATTTTGTTTTTTCAAGAGTCAAAAAGGCAAAGGAAATTTAATACGCTGATGTCTGGAACACAGGACTTAAGATTCCAGAATGGTATTCAGACATATATGCTTAGGGAAGCATTTTTATTTTTAGAATACAAAACGAATAAGTAAAATAATATAAACAATGCAGATTCAATGTACTTTTGATATTAAAGAGTGAAAAACGTACTAAACTGTCACGCGAAATGTAAGTATAAACAATGCATACTAATGATGAATTTATTGATTAAATTTATTGCCAAGACTTGGCAAGTTAATTTCATAGTTCATTATGAATCTAGCTGACTATTAATTAGTATCACTAAATAAAAGAAAATTTGGTTCGTTGTTTGGTTATCCAAAACTGATAAATACTATTGTTGACAAGTCGGTCTCTGGTTATCATTCCACAATCTGACACTGTCTAATTATAAATAATTATAAGGCCTATCATTTGGGCCATATCTAGGCTGCATTAGATATTATTTATATATTTATGGTCGGCCCTAAATAAGCATAATTATCTTTTGTTAATAAGCCCGACAGCATAATATTTCATATTTATAATTTAAGATAAAAAAATAACATTTTGTTGTCAAATTATTTAGTATTCAAAACTCACCGGAAGGGGTGACAGATGGCTATGTATCGCTCCACAGTGAAGGCCGTGATTGTAAGGACTGTTGCATTGGCTGCCATTTCGGACAGGACACTGCCCATGATGCACATGGCGTCCGTAAAGGGATACATGTCCGGGTACCATAGATTGTACAGTTCCTGCGGAATGCCTGCCCGAGAGTTGTCACATTACGCATACGTCCCGTTGCCACAAAGAAGCACGCATCAAAGCAGCACTCACCTGAGACCAAGAGTATCAGATCAGATACCGCCAGATTGAACAAATAGAAGTTGGTGGCCGTGTGCATGAAGTTATTCCGCGAAATCACTATGCAGGTTATCAGATTCCCCAGGACGCCGGCAACGAAGATGAGGGCGTAGCAGACGGTAAAGGCTGTTCGCAGGGTCAGGGACTCGTCGCCCGGGGAATCCGCGGCCATTGTGCTGGCATTCGTGCCATTCGCCGAGCCCAGCAGATTTGAGAGATTCTGGGTCGTTATGTTCAGCAGATGGGCGACATGTGTTAGGAATTTGTCATTCTTCAGCAGCAGCAGCTCGGGGCTCTCGCTCTCGGCGGGATTCGGCAGGGATTCGGTGGCGGCGATTCCCTGATTGAGACTGGGCGACACATGGGCCATGAATGATTGATTGAGGCCATCATCATTGCTGTCGTTGGCGTTGGCGTCGGCGATGGCAATGGCGACGCCCTGCAACATACTAGCTGCCGTCGATTAATTGCGGAGTCCCACTCGGTCCCCTTCCAGAAAGGAATCGTCCGCCCACTCCCGCTACTCCTCTCCGATCAATGCGTTATTAATACTGTCTGGCGTATCCTTCGCGGCTGCGGTGCCACATGGCCGATAAGCAGTCGACGACAGGCCCAAAAATTGGGCACTCGCCTGTGAAGCAAACAACATTGAAAGTCATTAGACTAAGGGGATGAATTTAAATTGAATCCCCGCCCGCCCCTGTCTGATATAAACATTGCTAAGGGACGGCATCAGGTGGCCAGGCATGTCGCGACCAGGAAACTGCGTTTTATTTCCAAAAAAAGAGACAATATAGCACTTGACTATATACACTTGTCACATGCCTCTTGGCTCTATTAGTGGCAATCATCTGATGCCTTGTTGAGACAAAATATCTATTTATTACACATTAAAAGAACAAAGAAATATTTTAACATCAAGGCACTTTAGATGGATATTCATTAGTATATTTATTTAAATTAAAAAGGTTGTTCTTTTATTAAGTGATATCGTTGTGATACTTAAATCTTAACTATTTATTTGAATTTTGTACTTTGTAGTTTGAACACTTTGTAAATCATTTTTAAAATCTAGAACTTCAGCAAGATCTAAGGTATGCTTTCCTTTCCTTGATTTTTTTATACATATATCAATTTATTACAAATATTTTCTCTCTGTGCTCCACTTGTCACTTGGCTCTATTAATAGTAAACATCATGGGCTTTCGCAATACAGATTGCTGGCAATCAATACAAATATAGTCGTGGATGTGAAAGTTTTTCTATTTGCGCGGACTTAGCCATGATGATGAGTGAACTCAAACCTGATTGCATGTGTGCGAAACTTTTTTTGGGCCTGGCAAAAGGGAAAACTTTTACCCAGCCGACTTGAGGGCCATTAAGAGGTTGGCCCATTAGGCAACCCGGAACATGCGGGACTTTAAAGATGCCTGGGAAATGTGTAGCTTTGGGTAATATTTCACTCATTATGCAGCCGACACGTTTTGCCTGCTGCCAAAAGTCAAATTTCGTGGGTTAGAAGTCAAAGGCCAAGGAAGGGAGCTGCGTGTAGCTGTTAATACCAAGTTGGATTATTGGCTTGTAGCCAGATTTCTGGGTGATGCGTCTAATTAATTATGTTTCCTGTTCGTTAAGCGTTCTTCCTGCCACGAGAAAGTTTGCAAGTAGCGTTTAAAAAAAAGTGAAGCCCTGAAAAGTATGCTACGCATGTGTTAGAAACACCATTCCTTCGGGAGAACTCCTGGGCCTCCCTATGACACTGTATTGACGCAAACTAATTGGAAAAATAATTGAATTGCCCGCTCAGGTGTGAAAGTTGATTTAGATATGATTGGGCACAATACAGGAGGAGTTGTGACCAGAGGCTGGAGAGTCTGGAGTAGCAGATCGCAATTACACATACCAATCAGTCAGGACGACCATATTAGGGCTGGCAATTCAATTCCATTTTTATTCGGAAAAGCTGGAAAAGTTCCAACCGCAATCTAGCTGCAACTTCCGAGGTGAGCAGGTGTCCAGGTGACACAGCGATAACAATGGCGAGGTTGAACATTTTTTAATTAAAATTTGCGGTTGCCGAAAAGTAAGCAATTTAGAAAAGCGTCTGGAGATTCAGTCCTGAGTAAATTTTAAGTCTACCCAGCTCTGATATTCGATGTGGCTGTTGATTCTTACCAAGGCTAGATTAAATAACAAAGGCCACGCTGCTATTCTTACTTACTTTTGTTCGCCGTATTGTGTCTCGTATCCTTATTCGTGTCTGAGTGTCACACAAGGTTTGTAACTCCTTTTTACCTTTTCACTTTCTTTTATTGTCACGGAACGTGTAAGGACTTCCGAGCGGGGTTTTGAACCCTTTAGCTTTTGTCAAACCGGAATCACTGAACGGAAAATTAGTTTTCCACTTTATAGGACATTCCATTGGATATATTTAATTAGTTGCAACGTTTATCAATTGTGGTTGATTTTTTTTAGTTGCTTTGTTTAAATATATTGATTTGAAATGGTTTCAACATTTTAATCACTGCCTAAGCAGGTCTTTTTACATTTATAATGGCTTTTAGCTGTATTTAAATACTAGGATTAGCTATGAAGTAAATTTTAAATTCTGCTTAAATATTTTTGATTTTAGTTTCCATCACTTTAACGAACTTTCTGCTTGAAATATTATTTTAACCACGAATTTATTCAGGCTCGCACGCGTCCGTAGAGGAGCAGAGTCGGTGACAGACTGAATTGCCTTGCGGCAATCGAGGCAGACGTTGGCTGACTCCTGTTAACTGAATGTTAAACAGCAGCAGCTCTTGGCCTTTTCGCTCTCCCTATTGGCCCGTCTCTCTCTCTGTCTCCTCCTTTATGTTAGAGTGTGTGTGTAAGGCAAACATTTGGGCTTAATTTCATTCATAAATTCATGCACTTCACCTTGACTGTGGAAACCTAGCGTCTCCGTAAGTTATGTCTTACTCGGCGGATGAGTAATGTCGCGGGCAGCTGGTTATAGCTGCTGGTGGCCGTAAACGGCAGTCGATCCAATTGAACGGCAGCTAATTGAAATTGCAAATAGCCCAAAGCACTAGCACTTACTTTTAATATTTATTATTGACGGCGCCTCCTGACTCTTGAGAGAATTGAACACGCGTTTTTCCACGATCTTGGGAATGAGAAATCAAAGCCGTCTTGACATCGTAAAGTTGGCGAATAAATGTATTTGTTTTGCAGGACATGAGCCATTGCCTGGACCTGCTCTTGGCACCCTTCTTCCCCGAAGCTTCCAGCAAAACCGCATATTAATGTCGGCCCTCGTCCGCAGATTTGTGGATTTGTTTTCATTATCCTGCCTCGGGGCTGGCATTCAATTGAAGCGGCCTGTTGGTTGTGCCTGACTTTAAGAGAAGAGTGGAGAGGAGTGGAGCAGTTTTGAGTCCAATTTGGCACGGTTGTCTGGTCGCGGTAAATATGCACAGTTGCTGGAGCGTGACCGCAATCCGGGGGTTTTGTGGGGCTTTCTTAAGAGCCTTAGGCTATTAAGGAAGCGCCGGCGGGTAGCAAAGGAATTTCCCACAAATTCCACTTACACGAGTAGCCGCCGAACGAATTAAGCCGCTCGAGTTGTTTTTTTTTTTCTTTTTGCGGATTCTCTCACTTGGTCATTACAAAATATTACAAACAGTTATAGCAGATTATTTCCTGTTTCATAAAACAGAGCTAAATATTTTATGAAGCTTATCTTTTTTTATTCAGTGATTATATATAAACTTTAGAGTGATTCGTATTTAATAAAAATGTTTTAATTTATAAAAAATATTTTAAAATGTTCCCATTCAATCAAAAGATTTTAATTAATTTGATTAGAGATATATTTAACTTGTTTGATTCTTTAGTAAATGTTAAATATAAATAAAATCAAAATCTTAGTTCAGCTTGTAACTTAATTTAATTACTTACATAAACAGTAATTGATTTTTCTATATATTTACCTTTATTTTTAAAATGAATTCTTCAGTCATATTCTTGGAGATACTTTTAAGCAATTACTAATTAAAATTAATATATTTTCATGTATTAATTTCCTTAATGTTTACAAATATTCTCTATTTCCCCCAAGTGTACCCACCAATCACATCAAATACCACATTTCCCACTTCCGCTTTGATCCTGGCGTAAATGCGATTAAACGCGCGTTAAATTAATGCGCCCGAAAATAATCATTGTCCGCAATCTGTAAGTCGATTCCCTGGATTATTCATGAAACGAACTCGCCGCCGAGAGTGAATAATGAAAGCGTCAGGCCAATCAATAGTAGTGCTTCACCTACTGACCTTTGTCCATTGCGTATACGCAACGTGGCCCCACCACGCAGTTAGTGCGGTGGTTGTGTATGAGTGTGTGTATGTGATTCGGAACAATTCAATTGGCCAGTAGATGATGCTGATTAGCATAATGCCTTCTGACACACATGTGGACCGCCGACCGAGAGACAAAAGATGCCCGGGGAGCCTAATCGAAAAGGGTCGACCGCAGACTGGAGGGCACAGCAGTCGGTCGTAGTTCTCAGGATCTGTGTCTGATTTACGACTGCAATGAGGGGGAACGACAATGATAATGGCCTGGCCGCAACCAGAGCTTGTGATTAGCTTGCCGCCTTGATGAACGATGCCGAAATGAGGGCTCTGCAATGGGGGGACTTAAGGCACTTTTGAATGCGTCATGTTATTCGAGATGCGGCTAATTAAATGCAATTAAACTAAACGAGAGTCCTTGGCCTCTGGCTGCCCCCAAAGACACGAGCATTGAACTGCGAAAGTATCACTTTACATACTATATAGTATATACTATTCGATTCGCTGGAGCCCACGCTTTTGGCTCAACTCGATTTGAAGTCGCATTACTCATACAACCCGTTGGCCAGAGTTTATGGGAAGTGCGGTACTTTTTTATGTTCGAAATTGGGCATCTTGGCCGACGATGGCATGCCGTTGAGGGCAATTGCCGGGCTTTTAACCAAATGAAGCCAGGCGAGCACGCACACCTCCTTCGCTTCTGCTTCTTTTTTATTCTTTTCGGGAATTCAATTATTTGAAAGGCTCTGCAGTGCATGTGGAACTATGGCTTCGCTGCCAATCGAAGGTCACAATTAGCCACGAGAAATGAAATTTTGTCAACGACTTGTTGAGCGCGTGCGAGAGTTCAATAAATAGAGGTCGCTAAGTATGGATTGATAAAGTCTAGCAGTGAAATCGAAATACTCTGACTAAGTAAAAGATTCTTTTGTATTTCTATCGAATTTATACATTCATTTTGAATAGGATAGAAAGACAATATTTTATAATGATTTCAAAAGACAGAACATAAAGTATGTGTTTGCATTTGTGGAATGTAAAATAATATTTATGATGTTAAGGTCTTAAGAACAAAGAAGGAGTAATATTCTAAAAAGTATAAAAGTTT